TTCAAAATGGCCCCGTTTGTCCGTGGGCAGGAGCCTTTTGGGGCCATTGTCATGGGGCTCTGGTTGGGAGGCTGGAAGCTGCCTGCGGAGTCAACTCTCCTTCCAGCCATCTCCGCCATTGAGCTTGAGTATTTCTCCCCCTGGGATGGATTTCCCCATAAAATAAATGTCTTGTCTGAATTAATCTTCTTTTTTAAAAGGAGAGAGTCATCATATTGTAAAGACAGATCATAAAAAGATGCATCAATCTGTCGGGAAGGCTGGTTACGATGAGTGTTTGTTTAGCAGAAATAGTGCCCCCCTCCCGTGCACCTCCTCCCGGCACCCCTGGTGCACCCCCCCCCCCCCGCCCCGGCTCCGCGGGCTCCCCCGGCCCCCGGCATCTGGCCTGCGAGGCTGCGCTGTTGCTGCGCCCAGCCCCGTGCAGGCAGCTTCTCCTGCGCAGGGCCCCTGCCGTCTGTGCGCACCGGCTTTACTCCTCAGACCGGCTAGGGCCCGCAGGTTGGCACACTGAATCCCGCAGGCTGCGACCTCTCTTTTCAGAAGAGGCCCGGCAGCGCCCCCCCTCGCTGGACGCGCCGGTCCCACTGCCCAGCCGCGGCCCGAACACTTCCATTTGGGAGCTAATCGGTATTCAGGATCGTAAGGACACCTCAATTCCTCCATTTTGTTTATTCTCGGAAAACAAAACAAAACAAAACTATATAGGCCTAACCTAAGAACATAGATTAAGAAGTAAAACAATCACACAAGAACTCCTGAAGAGCCAGGTGTAAAATTTCTATGCCATAATGTGAAACGTTACATGGCTGCTACTTGAATGCATGAGGGGAAAGAGGAACGCGCGAGAGTCCTCCTTTACCTCCTCCATCGCGGGCCCCTGCGAGCGTTCGGTGTGTCGCCTGTCTTCCCACGCGTTTCGGCCCATTTAGCCCTTGCCCCATACGCATGCGCAGTTTGTTTTGGGGTTACGTGAAGTTCATTTTTCTTTTACTTAACATCCTTTAAAAAAATAAAACTATAAAACCTACAGACATTTATCGTAAAAACTTCCAACTTTAGGGAGGGGTAGAAGATACAAAGAAAAAGAAATAACAAAGCGGCCCCCAGACAAGATTGTCCCTCCGGTCCTACTCCCCAAACAGGTGAAAAACATGCATTTTTTGCGTATCTTTCAAGAAAGGAGTATGCATATCCTAGCATTTTAAAATACTCATCCTTAGGGGCGCCTGGGTGGCTCAGTCGGTTGGGCGACTGCCTTCGGCTCAGGTCATGATCCTGGAGTCCCGGGATCGAGTCCGCGTCGGGCTCCCTGCTCAGCGGGGAGTCTGCTTCTCCCTCTGACCCTCCCCCCTCTCATGTGCGCGCTCTCTCTCTCTCTCTCATTCTGTCTCAAATAAATAAATAAAATCTTAAAAAAAATACTCATCCTTAATCTGCTCATCTTATAGATGAGAAGGCGACAGCTCAGAGAGGCCCCAGGGCAGATCCAAGGTCACACAGCTGACTGCGACAGACGCAAATGTGGAAGCCCGTGCCCTGACTTCAGAGGGCACAGGCCCTTTCTCTGCGCGTCTCCAAGGTGTTCGCCCAGCGCCAGCCTCGTCTCTAATCCCGCCCCAATCTTGACCCTGTCTGCCAGGCTGGTGGCACCTCGCACTATTGCCGCTGTCACCCCCCCCTCCCGGGAATGCCCGTTGGCTCTCAGTGTATTAATAGACTGCACTTGTGCGTCTCCTTCGTCCGGGTGGGCCTGTCTCACCGCTTCACGAGCACCTGCTGTCTCTGCCCGAGCTGTTGCCCTCAGAGCAGAGAAGCCTTGCGGACCCTGGCGAGGGGATGCCTTCAGTGGGCTCGAGTTCGCGCCTCTGTTACCCTTATATGCAGAGGACCCCTCCTCCCCAAGGATCATGCCAGTTGAGGAAGCCCCTGGCCTTGTGGGAGTCGACACGCGGCGTAGGCCTCTTGCTGTTCCCTCCGCTAGATTCTGGGGCCGCGGGCCTGGCCTTGGGGAGCTGACGGCGTGGGGAGCTCACCGCCACATAATCCACCCTTTATCTGTAGTTAGCCTGGGTTCCTTCTGTTCTTTTTCTGTGTGCCTGCCTCAGCCCTCTTAGACCGGCAAACGTCTAAGGAGGAGAGTCAGCCATTTTGTTGATGGGACGATGGCCCCCATCTGGACATCCAGGCCACATCCAGATGGACACACCACCTACGATGATAGGCCACGGTGGTAGAGCCCCGGGGCAGAGCATGGACCTACAAACTCTCCCCCAGCCAGGCCTCTTCTGACCTTACAGATGGAAACGTGGGAAGCCCCAGGACGTAGGCAGTGGGTCCCAGGAAGGGAGCGGTACGTGGGGAGGGCGTGGCCGGGAGAGGGTCTGTGTGTGCATCTGTGTGTTGGTGTTAGGGGCCGGCAGCTAGAGGAACTCTGCTCTTGAAAATTAATTCTCTCGACTTCACACATCCCACGTTTGGGCCTGGAGGTGTTGCCTGGAGCTTCGGGGGGTGTGTGTGGGGGGGTGCAGTCTCCTCCCGCCTGCCTTGGATTCACTGCCACTCGGGAACCAGACTCCTTCCCAGCAAACAAAACCTCCAAGATCTCTGATTCCGCAGCGCCCTCCAGTGGGTAACTGGAGTATGTCTGGAGAGAAAGCCTTAGGACTCACCGGGTCTTAAGTCAAACATGTGGGCCCTTAATGGATTTTAGAATTTATATAAAATTTTAAAAATTAAAAAAAAAAGATTTTATATTCATGTTCTTCCAACTGTTCCCACCCTCTGCGTGATATAAAATTCTAGATGAACAGAGACAGACAGAGAAGTCCTATGCTAAACAGACTCTGCTCTGCCAACTTTCCAAATGACTGGCACATTCCCATTGCATACTCCAACCCTGAGTCAGAACACCCCCTTAGTTAACTTCTCCACTGCAAAGAGTGACAGTCTCCCCCAAAGGCTTCACAAGTCTGATGAAGGGGGGAAAACCAAATCGGCAGGGGCAAATGGGTTCCAAGCCCGTGTGACCACAAGCTGATAACGCGACTCCTCCATGTGAGTTGTGTGCCTACCCCAGGCTCGCTGGGAACAGAACCTGGCCATGTGTAGAAGGCCCCCAACACCAGGTCTCCCAGATGTGCGGGCTCCGAGTGTGGAGGGGCTGAGTGAGGCCCAGCTCCCCTCCTCCACGCCCTCTGCACCCAGCCCTTCCTCCGGCTCCTCCTGCCTCCGCTGTCCTGCCTCTGTCCGCAAGGAGCACTCCGCCCTCTCCCCCAGGGCGCCCTTACACTCCATTGGCCACCTTCCCCTTCTCTCACTGCTGCTTTGTGAAGAGAACTTTCCCCACTGACTTTTGTTTTGTTGTCACCCACAGGATGCTTCCATCTGTCCTCTCCGCTCAGCCTGTGCACACCACCCAGCTCCTCCTTTGGATGCCCAGCTCTTTAGAAGGGGTGTCATCATCACGGCTGTAACCCAGCTTCTTCACCTGTTCTCCCTCTGGGTCTTCCAATCCGCACAAAAGAAAGGCACAACTGCAATTCCGTGGGTAAGTGCCTGATTGGAACCCCGGAAGGCGGGTTGGGGAGGGGTGTCTTAGACTCTCACAGAGGACAGAGAACTAGCCGGACAGGCTGCAACGTGGAGGATGCCCAGGACCTGAACGGTTCACAGGGGCTGGCGGTGCGGGGTAGGTGGAAACCCCCAGCTCCGATCTGAGGGGGCGAGGCCAGCCCTCCTTCCCCTGCCCTCCACAACGCGTCTCATAGGAGAGCTTCGGCATTTGCTGCCTCTGCCAGGTACTCTGGCCGCACGGTGACAGATGTGACAGAGGCTGCCTAGGAAGAAGATGCTGAGACCCAGAGAGCCATGCGGGGATGGAAGATGCGTGTCCTGAGCCCTGATGCTGATGTCTCATTCTACTCTCACAACTGTGACCGGGTGATGTCATCAGGGCCATTTTTCAGATGAAGAATCAGACTCGGGAGAGGAGGCCAGGGCTGCATCACGGTGGCGTGGCTCAACTGAGCTTCAAGTAACAACGTGCGTGGTTTCCAGGCACTTGGCCTTTCTGTTCCCCCTCAGATGGACACACACACACACACACACACACACACACACACACACACACACAGTCTCCCCCCTATTTCTCTGATGACTCGGTGCATGGGGAGAAGGGAGAAATCAACATGTGGAGCCAGGAAGGGACACTGAGGGACATACACAGGGGAGAGGCAGAGAGAGGCAGAGGGAGAGGGGCAGGGGGTGGGGGGAGGAAAAGGGACACAGACAACTAGGGGGACAGTGACATAGAGACAAGTAGGAAATGTGCTGCTTATCTATTCCGAAAAGGATGGATTTTGAATAAAATACATCTTCCGGGTCTCCTCCCCAGGACTTCACAAACAGAATTTCTGGGAATGGGACCCAGGAGTCTGCATGTAAAGAAAGCTCCTCTGAACGGCAAAGCATGCTCTGAAGTGCATCACAAAAACAAGGTGGGTTGATGGACGGAGAGAGGGCTGGATGGATAATATGCAGGAAAGCAAATATAGCAAAACGCTGACAGAGGAATCCAGCAAGTGGGTAACCCTGTCCACTGTACAATTCTTTCAGCTGTCTGTAGGTTTGAAAATTTTCATAATAAAATGTTGGGATAAAATCCCAAATGATGTGATGATTAGGCAGGTGTGGGACCACCGCTGTAGGGGAAGGCTCCCTCAGGGGACTTTTGGAGGGGCAGTGGCCTGGGGAGCCGCCTCCACACCCCCTTCCGGAGCCGCGGGCCTCTGGCCTGGTCAGTTTCTCAGCAATCCCAGAATGCACAGCAGCACCACGCAGGCCACCGCCCTTTCCCCTGGGTCCTTGAAGGAAGTCCATCTGCTCTGGGTGTGGAGCAGGACGAGGTGGGTCCTCTGAGGCTGGCCTCTGTGGGGCATGGGAGAAATGTGATCGAGTTGGCTGGCAGTGTGGGTTGGGCAGAACTGGGAGAGACGAGGCTAAAAGTTCTCTTGGAAGAATTTGAAGCCAAACTGCTCACAGTGGCCCTTGAGCACCTTGGCCAGGACTAGGGAGCCACAGAAGACCTGCACCTTGCCCTTCCTCTCAGCAGCCACTTTCTGGAGCATCTGGAGCCCACACGGGGTCGGAGAGAGCAGAGGGAGGGGAGTGAGCCTGTGGACCCGCTCAGGGACACACCCAGCTAGAGCTGAAAACATAATGGGTCGGCAGCGATGTCCCTCTGTCCCCATGAGGAACTCCAAGGCACAGGTGCTTAGCTTCAGAGCAAAGGGTCCAACATGCAGCCATTCTTTTGGGGGGCCATTGGCTCAACCCCTAACCTGACCCAGACACCAGGAAGGGGCTGGACCAGAAGGCCCAGGCCCTCCACTCCTGGAGCACGTCTGTGGGGAGACTGCAGTGTTGGGGGACAGGGATAGGGCCCTGTGGGCACGCTGAACCCCAACTGTCTGGACATCCTGCTAGTCCTCCAGCAGGCACGTGCCTCCACTGAAATGTCTCTTTCCTAAAGTCTGACTGTTGCCCCAGCGAAGACCCTTTCCCACCCCAAATTCTGCTTACGGAGGCCATTGTGGAAAGCCCTCCTTGGTGCCCAAGCACCAGTGGTGTCCTGTTCCCTCACTACCTGGGCATGATTATCGCCCACAGATTGAAAAGCAGTACCTTCTGGCACCTCACTCAAATTGCACTCCGATTGGTAAGTACTCAGGGGGAAAAATAATTTAAAAACCAATCTGAGAAATAAAATAGAAAGACCGCAAACTTTTGTGCCTTTGGGCCTCAGTCTTTCCGTTTGTACCAGGAAGGACAGGACCTGCTGCCTCCCCAAGACCCCGTCTACTCAGGCCTTCTGACCCCGGCTCATAGGGAGTCAGGGCTGGGGGGAGGCCTAGGAGGTCAAATTGGCTAAATTCTTCTCTGAACAGTTGAGGAAACCGAGCCCAAAGTTGGAACAAGGGGAGCCAGTCATGGCACCAGTGACCCCGGTTGGACCCTGGATGCTGGCCTCGTGCCCAGTCGCTAGCTGCTTGGCCCTAACCTGCCTAGCCACTGCCTTAGGCTCTCAGCCCCACTGGTCCCTGCAGGCGGCCGGGCTCTCGCTAGCCTTTACCTTGCTCCAGTCAGGCCGCCCAGGCTGGGTGCATGTCTGGAGGCCCTGTGATGGAGTCCTTCGTCTCCTTCTCGGCCAGGAGGTCAAGGGCCATCTGCAGGCTACTGACCTTCATGTCATGCTTGCCCAGTGCAGAGGTCATGTACATATGCAGCTCCAAGAAGGGGCCTGGGTGGTGGGAGGCAAAGGTGGCATGGAGGGGCTCACGCCCACGATAGGCACAGGGCATGATGTCAGCCCCTTGCCCCCAGGGCTCGGAGAGAGACCACGGGTGCTCAGAACTCACACCTTTGGCCCACCAGTGCTTTAGAAAGGAACGCTGGCACACTGATGGGGCGGAGTGGGCTCTGCGCCAGGCGCACACAGCGACTATATCCACTGTCTGGCCTGCACTATTGCTACTACAGGTATTGCTACTACCACTGTTACTACTATTGCTACTACTGCTACTACTACTATTGCTACTACCACTATTACTACTACTGCTACTATGACTATTGCTACTACCACTATTACTACTGCTACTACTACTACTGCTGCTACTACAGCTACTACTACTATTGCTACTACTGCTACACTACCATTACTACTTCTACTGCTACTACAGCTACTGCTACTACTACTATTGCTACTACAGGTATTGCTACTACTGCTATTACTACTACTGCTACTACTACTACGATTGCTACTATAGCTACTACTACAACTACTATTGCTGCTACTACCACTGCTACTACTATTGCCACTATTACAGGTACTACTGCTGCTGCTTACTTTCCTGAGCAGTTATTAAGCTCCAATCACTGCTCTAGGTGCTGCACAGATGAGTTCATTGAATCCTCATGACAACCCTATGAGGTGGGTACTGTTACATCCCTATTTTTCACATAAGGAAATCGAAGCAAAGCAGTTCAATAATGTCCCCAAGTTTTGATAGCTATTATGGTATAGAATAAAGATTCAAACTCAAACAGAATGTTTGAAGCTTAAGCTGTAGAAATTAAAAGCAGGAAGCCATACATTCTTGAACTCAAACCTTGGTAAATAATTAAAGTTGAAACCAGAAGTCACGGGTTTCTGTTGCAGTTAATGAAAAACCCTGGAAGAAATTTGAGGTAATAAAGTTGTTGACTCAAGTGGCCTTGAGAAGGCAAAGCACCAGGTTTGTTGTTATCCTTTGTTTACACAGATTAGGAAGAAACAAATAGCAAATATTTATATACCAGCGACCAGGAAATTTAAATGAAATCTAAACTTCCCCCCTAGCTTGTCATCATAAAATTGTGTTTCTAATAAATTAATATACATAAAAGCATTGAGAACGAAGTTGAAGCTCTATAAACATTTGCTATAATTGTTATTTACAAGAAAGGGTGAGGAGCTTTATTGCAACATTCTAAAGTTTACCAATTCTGTGTCAAACACTGTTGACTTGTGCTTTAGGGCTTTGAACGTTTGTTATAATAAACTACATCTGTTTGAATGTTTCTTATAAAAAACTGCATTTAAGGGGCGCCTGGGTGGCTCAGTCGTTAAGCGTCTGCCTTCGGCTCAGGTCATGATCCCAGGGTCCTGGGATCGAGCCCCGCATCGGGCTCCCTGCTCGGCGGGGAGCCTGCTCCTCCCTCTCCCACTCCCCCTGCTTGTGTTCCATCTCTCACTGTCTCTCTCTCTGTGTCAAATAAATAAATAAAATCTTAAGAAAAAAAACCCACGTTTGATTACTTGAACTTATAAACTATTTATCATAGGAATTTTAATTCACTTATGGCAGCCTTAGTATAATTAAAACAGCCAAAGAAGATCTGGTTCCATTGAATTCAACCAGTATAAAACCTCCCCACCAATTCTCCAAAGTTATTCCTCCTCATATTACTATTCCATAAGTAAAACAAAACAATGATTCTAACAGATTAACTTTAAAACACAGGATAAAAACCTCAGTATTCCATAAAGATGTCTTGTGAAGACTCCGATGAACCCAGAGAAACACGCTATCGCATAGACTAAGCCTTGGCTTAGCACAAAATGTAGGCAGCAACCTTTAGGGGTGGGCAGGGGGAGACCGTGGGGCTGGAGGAGGACATTCACAACATTCATATAAAAGAAGGGACCAAACAGGAAAATAATTCGTACATGCTAAGTTGTTTAACCTGTACCTTAGACCATTCTGTACCCTTGTCGACTGCCACCTCATCTGGAAAAATACTGAGCATTCACCCCACAATCAATACCTATGCTTCCTCACCTGTTCATCTCCACTAGCAGATTATGTACATTAAAAATTTATGTCGGAGGGGCGCCTGGGTGGCTCAGTCGGTTGAGTGTCCAACTCTTGGTTTTGGCTCATGTCGTGATCTCAGGGTCGTGAGATCGAGCCCTGTGTCGGGCTCCATGCTCAGCGGGGCGTCTGCTTGAGAGTCTCTCCCTGTGCCCCTTTCACATGCACATGATATGCAGACCAGCCTGGGCACCTCCTGGGCTCTGGAGGAAATGAGAGGCGAGCCCAGCCTGGGAGAGCAAAGGGGCAAGGGGCCGCCCCTCCGGACACAGGAGCTGGAGCAAACAAGCACCGGTCGGGGAGGCCGAGCCATGGACCCAGCTGATGCCAGGCCTGGTGGTGAGCAGCAGTTCCCAGAACAGGAAGGCGCTGGCCTCGGACTGAGCCTGGAGCGCTGGAGACGAGCACAAGGCAAGCTCTTCCCTCTCCACTGTTCCTTCAGAGGCCCCACCCCTCCCCGTCAGATACCCACACGGGTAGAGACTTCCATCCAGACTGCTGGCTGATGCAGGACACCCCTTCCCCACCCACTGGGCCTATAGGACACACAGCTCACAACGTGGGCCACAGTGTGCACAAGGGAGAGCACAACCACCACGTAGCCCATGAGCTGGTGGAACTGGATGTTCCAGTCCAGCAGCAGGATCTGAGCCAGCCAGGTGGCCTGTGGCCATGTCAGGCAGCACCTGAACATCAGCACCTGGCTGGACACAGCAGCAGCAGAGAGCGCCCACCTGGTTCTCTCTTTCTCGGCCCACTCTCCTTTCCCCAGCAGCTGTCTCCCCGCCTCCCTCTGAGCGGGCTGTGCCCCCCTCCAAGGGGCCCCTTCACCATCTCCCCTGCCCCCAAGCCTTCGCTGCTCCCCTAGGTCCACAGCCGAGATGTGCAAAGCAGGGTCTCCGGAATTGGGGCAGGAAGAGAAAATGTTACAGAATGACTGCTGGTATTACTTTTGCCTAAACACATGAGAAGCACAGAAGCTTTTGCTAACATTTAATATCCGTGTTGACACGGTGCCCTCATTTAGTCTGTATGTCAGACAGGCACGTGTTATGTCTAGTTCTCAAGGTGTCCTGGAGGAAGACCGGGTTTTCCAAAGGGGCTTTGGAGGAGGGCTCCCTCCTTGCTCATTTGCTTTCAGTATATGTGTGCCCAGATACATAGACTTGCAGATGACATTTGTCTGGTTTTAACCAAGTTAAACTACCTCTCACAGAAAAGACAAGATTTCCTGTGAAGAAAGTGCTGATTGAAAACAGTGTTAATAAAGCAAGTGACCAAGCAAATGAGTTATGGGTCTCCGACTCTTGGTATGTAGCCAGTTCTGAGGATAAAAATAAAACCCACATAAGAGGCTGACATTATCAAGAAGAGTATCTGAACTAAAGATGTACATCCCTGACCGTTCAGGATGACTCTTGCCTTATAGGGTGCTATAATGATAACAGGGCATGTATATCATTATAAGTAAATGAGCACATATTGGGTCATTGGAAGGGTTTTTCATTTTCTGTTTCTGTTTTGTTTTAATTGTAGCAGCGCACAATCAAACACGCTTGGAGACCTCACTCCCTGGCCCGGAGCATCTGTTCTGACTCATCAGCCTGGCATTCAAGGGCTTCTACTGTGTTCTCTGTCTGCTGGGAGTCCCGCATGGGAGTCACGCCACCTGCCCTGGGGCCACCACAGGTTGTTGTGAACAGCAAATGGAAAGGGCTTAGCACGGTGACTGTGCATAGTTAAGTGCGCAAAATTGCCGGCTGTGTTTTACAGGCTGTGTGACTATGGACAAGTCACTGCCCCTCTCTGGGCCTCAGTGTCCACCGAGTATTGATCGACGCAGCTGATGTCTGAGGTACCCTTCTGCCCTGGCACTCCGGGAGTCCACGTGTGGGTCCCTTCGGCTATGAGGAACCTGCGTCAGCATCCCGCCACCCCCCCACCCCCGCCCGCTTCCCAGCATCGTGCCCGCGGAGTCCTACCGCGATGAAGCTACAGTCGACGTTGAGGCACTGGCGCAGCCTTTGGCCACCATGACGCAGGGGCCGGGGGCCCGGTGCGCACTGGCCACCAGCGCGAAGAGCAACACGTGGAGGCCCGCGTCGGCGGCCAGACAGAGCAGGTGGCTGCGGTGGTTGGACCAATAGGCGGAGGTCAGAGGGCGGGCACGGTGCCGGCGCGGCTGGGCGGCGGGGGGCAGGGGGCATCAGCCTGTGGGTAGCGCTGCGAGAGAGGGGCTCTGCTCAGAGGCACGGGCCAGGTGGGCTGCCGAGGGGGCAATCCGCTTGGGGTGTGGCGGGCAGCACCCGAGTGGGAACCTAGAGACCCCACGCCCACCGTAACCCACCAACTTTCAGGAGCCTCGGGGCAAGCGGCCGGCTTCCCTTTCTAGAAGGAAACAGAGAGGTCAAGCAACTTGCTCAGAGTCATACAGCTAGGCAAGGCCAAGATGGAACTCCCATCTGTCTGATGACATAATCACGGCTGTTTCTATTACTTCCCTTACTTACCAACTGTAGGGGGGGAGGGAAAGGCAATCGAAAAGGATGGAAAAACCTGAGATGTGTTGTGGTAAATAACCCACAAGTAAGCTAATACACAAAAAGAATAAACTACAAAAGCGGGCCTTTTCAGAGCTTGGAGTCAGACAAACTTGGGTGTGTCGTTACACCCCGTCTATTTTATTTTCCTCCATAGCTCTGTTCAATTTAGCACTTCTCTAGTTTATGCATTTGTTTATTGGCATAAATTACTTATAAATTAACAGTGCCTCCTGCTCGACCAAGTTGAATAAATGTCTGCCTCTGCTAATTATTTGTGTGATCCTAGGTAAGTTACTTGGGGTGAGGTAACTAATTTCCTTTTGCGCGTTGCTATAAAATGCACTGGTATATTTGTAAAAATGCCCAGCCCACTGTAGGTGCTTAGCACTGTGAAGTTGATTCTGAAAAGACACTGTAAAGCGGAGACATGACCATAGCTCCCCGCAGAACAGACCTTTGTCCCCTATGAGAAAGCGGGCGAGGCCGGGGGCGGGGTTGAGGGATCCTCGGAGCTTACCCGCCACTCTGCGCACCTGGAATCTAACCTCTACACGGTTGGTGCCCACGCCAGAGACAGGGCCGCACCTGATGGTCAGGTTCTCCATGACCCCGGGGAAGCGCTGTAGCTCGGTTCCGAAGGGGGTCGAAGGTGCTGGCGCGGTTGCAGTCCTTGTTGGCCGACTCCAAGAGCTCCAGTAGCTGGTCCAGCTTCTCGTCCGGCCGCGAGATGGCGCTCTCGCACACGCACGACTGCTGCACGGTGCGCAGCTCATCCACGATGGAGCCGCTGCCTGTCCCAAGTGGGGATGAAGCCGAGTGGGGGCCTTCCCCGGACCCCACTCTCTACCTGCAGATTCCGCCGTGCCCAACCATTTCATGGAGTGGTGAACTTTCCCTATTCGCCCACCTCCAGTTTTCTGCCAACCAAGTCCCTTTCGGGGTATAGACCAGGCAATCAAAGTACATAATATCCCCAGCTCAGAAACCTTCCATGGCTCCCTACTGCCCAGCTCAGTGGAGATAAACTCCTCCCCAAGCATAGAGAATCTTAGCTTTAGTACATGCCTTTCTCCAGAATCTGCAGCCTCGTCTCTTAAGTACTGAGCTTCCAAGACCATCTGCACAGAAGATACACTTGCTTGGGGCCCTGGGTGGCTGTATCAGTTAAGCATCTGACTCGTGATTTTGGCTTAGGTCATGATCTTAGGGTTGTGGGATCGAGCCCCTTGTTGGGCCCACGCTGAGCTTGGAACCTGCTTGAGATTCTCTCCCTCCTTCTCCCTCCCCCTCCCTCTGCCCCTCTCCCCACTGGAGCTCGCTCTCTCTCCAAAAAAAAAAGGGGGGGGGAGTGGGGGAGAAGATACACTTGCTTAATCTGTAAGGAGCTACATGCCCAGAGCCTCAATTATCCAGAGGCAAATTGTACAGGGGTTGGTGGTGAGGGAAAGTTCCCTGTTGTTCTCTAACTTGTAGCAGATCTTGCTTTTCCATGTTGTCCTGGGAGGTCAGAGCTGGGCCCCCAAGTCCAGTCATGTGGTCTTACATGAACATGAGTGACTAAAGGTGTGATGGGTCAAGGAAGCCAAATCTACCCATCAAGATGAGATTTGGGCCATTTTTTCTGTGTATTTTTCCACTCTGCATGAGCAGCAGGGCCCATGATTAATGAGCTCTTGGCCTGATTTGGATGTAGACACACATAAGGTAGCTTCATGTTTCTGCCCCTTACTAACTGTGATGATGGGCTGTAAGTCCTTCAGAGTGGCAAACCTTACTTTGCTCATCTATAAAATGGGGATAATTCCCCCCTTTCAGAACTGGCTCAAGGATAACAATTATAAAGCACTTACTGCAGTATCTGGAAGAAGGTAGCTGCATATAAATGGAAAGCCTTATTGGTATTTTGATCATCATAAAAGCCCAAGCCAAAGTCTGTAATCACATGACAGTGCAGAATCTAAGGTACCACTCTCCAGTCACGCCTCCTGTCCTTCAGCATTCCCAGTCAAGAGCCACCATGCAACAGGTTTCTAACTGCATCGAGAGTCCCTCCCCTGCTGCCTTCACACCCTCTCATCCATCCGGCTTTATTCTCTCCTTGGCTAGTTTCAAATCCAGGGTCCCCCTTCGCTATTATCCTCATACACACATTCCTCTTCCTTGGCTTGCTGTCCTCTATTCCAGTGACCTAAACGTATCCCATCCCTGAGTTAATCTAGCCACCTGTTCTTTCCCTTCCTGCACCAGGGCAGCTGATAGAACATTCTTGAAGAAAAGCTTTCAAGAGAGCAGGAAGCTTTGATCCCCAGCCACAGCAAGGCCTTCAACTTGCCTGGCAACTTTCTCCTGCTTCTCTTGTAAGGTCACTCTCCTACTGCCTGCAAGGACCACTTCTCACCTCCATGTGCATCCACTCCCCGCCTGGCTCTCAGAGAAAACAGAAGCCACTGGAAGGGAATGCCCTCTAGTTCCTGCCATAAAACTACAAATCTCCTTCCACCTGCGCTGTTCTGCCTTCCTCCCCACCACTGCCTGCAAGGAGAAGGTGAGTGTGCTCTTTTTCTTGTGACAAACCAGCCTCTCAGGAGTGAGCAAAGTTTGGTGGTCAGGAAGCAGTCAGTAAGGACTGTCCCATGCAGACTGGGGCGGGGTGGTCTGAGAAAGATGTTCAGGAAGCGGGTGTGGCCAACTGCCTGTGTACTAGGGGAAGGGGGCCAATTTGGGGAGTGGGTTCCGGGAATGAGGTCTGGCTAGATTGAGTCAGGTGGAACTGGGAGCTAACGAAACCCCATAGGACAGAGGGCCCTGCCCAGGAGCAGGCCTGCAGCTAGGCTGAGCTTTTCAGGATGCAAATCCAGCCCAGTGACCTCTCTGCTCAACACTCTTCAGTGGCTCCCCGTGGCTAATTGTACTGAGACCAAACCTTGGCCACCAAGGCCTGTCCAGTCTGGCCTCACCCATCATCCCAGTCTCACTGGGTGCCTCTCTCCAACTGGAGTGCTCCTTCCTCTGATGACTCCAGGCACTCAGCGATGCTTGATGCCCCACAGTTGCCAAAGACTTAAAAGCAGGACATTCATAGCAGTGTCATTTTTAATGCAAAAAAAAAAGAAAGAAAGAAAGAAAGAAAGAAAGAAAGAAAGAAAGAAAGAAAGAAAGAAAGAAAAGAACAGATAAGAAAAAAAGTGGTGGGAATGGGAAGACAATGAAATTCTCCATTTTGGTAATGGGGTTTGAATAACCAGTAATAAATAACCGCTAACACTTATAAAGGTGTGGTGGGCACTGTTCTGAGTCTACATAAGCTAACAAATTTAATCCTATCAGCCTCATGAGTGTAGACTGTTATTATAACCATTACTCGCATATGAGAGGTAGAGAAACTGAGGCACAAAGAAGTTAAGTGACTTGCCCCAGGCTCCGTGATTACTAATAAGTGGTGGAGCTGAACTTTGGCAGCCTGACCTCCAGGTCAGAGATCTGAACTCCTAGGCTGTGCTGCACAGGACACAGGGTCACATATGTACAAAGGGTGGGATGGGACATGGTCACAGAAATTGATGCTGTAAACACTGAGTTACCAATTCATACACCCTAGGGTGGCTACTATTGTTTTTTAAAGATTTTATATATTTATTTGAAAGAGAGAGAGAAAACAAGAGAAAGAGCATAACCAGAGGGGGAGGGTCAGAGGAGAAGCAGACGCCCTGCTGAGCAGGGAGCCCAATGTAGGGCTTGATCCCAGGACCCTGGGATCATGACCTGAGCCAAAGGCAGACGTTTAACCGACTCAGTAGGGGGGTACTATTAAAAAAGAGAAACAGAAATAACAAGTCAAATGAGTGATTGGCACAGGATGTGGAGAAACTGGAACCTGTGCGTTGCTGGTGGGAAGGGAAAATGGTATAACCTTGTGGAAGAATACGGCATTCCTTGAATGATTAAAAATAGAACTACCATATGATCCGGTAATTCCACATCTGGGTATTTACCCCAAAGAATGGAAAGCAGGGTTCCAAAGACCCACACTTGTGTTCACAGCAGCATTATCCGCAGTAGTCAGGAGGTGGAAACAACCCAAACGTCCACTGACAGATGGATGGATAAACAAAATGTGGTATCATACAATGAAATATTGTCCAGCCTTAAAAAAAGAACTAAATCCTGTCACATGATACGACATGGTGAACCTTAAAGACATTATGCTAAGTAAAATAAGCCAGATACAAAAGGGCAAGTATTACATGATTCCACTCATATGAGATACCTAGAGTAGTCAAATTCTTAGAGACAGAAAGGAGAGAGTGGTTGCCAGGAGCTGGGGAGGGCAGAATAGGAGCTGGTGTTGAGAACAGGAGCTAGTGTTGAGTGGGTATAGAGTTTCAGTTTGGAAAGATGAAAAAGTTCTGTGGGTGGATGGTGGTGATGGTTGCCCAACAATGTGAATTCACTTAATGCTGTTACACTGACACTTAAAAAAACAGTTAAAGTGGTAAATTTAATGTTATGTATATTTTACTACAGTAAAAATGAGGTTAGAAAGCAATATAGTCTTACACGAACAAGTGTTTACATTGTTTAGCAAGAAAAGGCAGTATGTATGGTGTAATCCCATTTAAAAAAAATGTGTGGGGCTGTGTACAGAGAAACAGAGACAGAGAGATCAATTAGAAGGCAGTATAGAAAACTGTTACGGGTGATTTTGGCTTTCTTCTTTAAACCATTCTGTATTGCCTAAAATGTTCTCTGTGGACATATGTTATCATAATAAGGAAAAAGAAATAAAGCAATTTCTTTTTTCAAACTTTCAAAAGAAGTTCAGGCTTCTGGTGATCGAATCAAGGGCATTTGTCTCCTGGGCCAGAGTGGCCCCTTCTCCCACGTCTCCACAGAAGGGAGGCAGTGGTCAGACAGGGAGATGGGGGGCGGGCACACAGAGGGGGCGAGCCATCAGCCCGGTCTGGAGAAGACAGTCACTGAGGTGGGCGGATCCCTTTGCCCCTCCCACTGAGGCCGCCCCCGCCCGCCCGCCCGTCCCTCCGGAGCCCTTACCATCGACGTACACCTGGAAGAGGAATTTGAGTTTATCCATGGGGTTGCCGTGGATGAGCAGGGTCAGGGCCTCCAGCAGCTCCTGGAGGGTGATGGTGCCGCCTCCATCGGGGTCAAACAGGGTGAAGAATGTCTCGGCAAAGAAGGACTGTGGCCAGAGAAGGGCGGGAGATGGGCACAGTGTAGCCTCGGCGCTTGGGCTTTGAAGGTCCGCAGGGTGTGCGCGCATGCGCTGTGGGGTGGGGGGCCTCACGCAGGCCCCCAGTGCTTGCGCACCGGGTGTGATCGCCCCGCTTGGCCACACCAGGGGGTGGTGTCCCCGGCCCCTCCTGTTGGCCTAGAGCAAGTTTGGACTTCCGTGGAAGAACGGTTCAGATCCCAGCAGTGAAGCTGGGCTTGTGTCCGGGCCTCAGGACCCCTGCTTGCCCCTCACCCTTGGTCATTTGTACAGGCTCTCTGTCCCCTACATGCCCGTCACCCCCATCAGCCTTGCAGTCCAGACCCCTCAACATGCAAATTGCAGGCTCCCCCTGCAGGCTCCTGCCAGGTCCTGTCTCATCCCCCTTGGGATGAACACAAGGGACAAGCGAACCAGGAAGTTCTTAGAGGGTAGATGGCACTTGAGCACCTGGATCGTCCCGGGACTTATTGTTTAGGCTCCTTGCGCTTACACTTCAGGCTGATTCTTAAGCTCCTATTCACTCACTCTATTCATTCATTCATTCACTCATTCATTCATTCATTCATCCATTCATTCAGCAATCATGTCCTGCACAGCCCCGACTTGCCAGGCCTGGTGTTAGGCCCCCAGCACAGAAATTAAGACAGACGGGGTCAGTGCCCCAGATCTGCCGGCCCGGGAGGCTCCCCTCAAGGCAGGGAGAGGGGCCCGCAGGGCTTCATGTCTGACCTAAGAAATCATGAAGAGTTTACAAGCAGGAAGTGGGGACCGAAGTCTGCTGTAGACACTCACCCTTCTTCGGCTCTCCTCTTTCTTTCCTGGATCCCTGGATCCCTTTATCACTCTCTAACATCCGGAGTGGTCTCTATCTTAAGGTATATTACAGCGTCCTGTTAAGAGTGTATTGGGAGGCCTGGGTGGCTCAGTTGGTTAAGCATCTGCCTTCAGCTCAGGTCATCATCACAGGGTCCTGGGATCCAGCCCAAGTCAGACTCCCTGCTCAGCGGGAAGTCAGCTTCTCCCTCCCCCTCCATCCCCCCTGCTCATGCTCTCTCTCTCAAATAAATAAAATCTTCAGAAAAAAAAAAAAAGACTAATGTATTGTTAGGCAGAATGTCTTTTTTTCCTTCCCCATGTTTACTATGGAAGGAGGCATGGCATTTAGAGTTCTTAACAGTATCCCTGCTACCAGCAAGTGAGGGGCCCTCTGATCCGAATAGGGACATGCAAATGCTCATTGGCTCGCCCCTCTCAAGGACACAGGCCACCACCAGATGCCAGCCCATGAAACGTGTGGGGAGAAGTTAACATTTGCAGCCTCACTCCCCCCATATCTCTGCGGATGTCTCCCCTGTTTGTGGGACATGCAGGCTCCTCCAGGAATGGGCAGAGAACTTATGAAATGAGAGCGGGTTTGGAAATGGGGTGGGAGTTTCATGGATATAAATCATTGAGAAGCTTATTTCTTGGAAGGAGACTTACAGACATCATAGCGTCAACTCTGCCCATGAGGCTGGTGGAAAATATGAGGCCAAAAATATTTCTTGAGATCTGGCAAGCTCCTGATACCCAACTTTACATGTTGTTTTGAAGACCCCAGGAGGCACGGCTACCAGAGAGATGGGAGGGCATTAGAAACAGAGACTGAAACGCTCAGATCCTGCTTAGAGGTGGGGCCGGAAGCCCTGAGGAAGCCCCGGGGGCAATCTTTCCCTCCTTGTGAGGTACTGTGTCCCTGAGAGCCAGATTGCTCCTCTGTTATGAACGCAGGGCCCACTTCCGGAGTGGACACTTGCCTCGTTCACATTCAGGGCTGCTTTGAATTCTTGCAGGTTGATCTCCCAGTCTTTTCCCACAATGGTCTCAAACTGGTGTGTCACCCACTGAATCCACGTGGCATCTTCCTCAGTACTCATGGCACTGGAAGAAAAGGAGACAGGTTTATGGGTTTGGGGTGGCCAAGGGCTCCTGGTGGTTCCAGGACGTGTGCCTTTTTCTAACTAGGGCCTCGGCCTTCCATAGGTTGGATCAGCTTTGCCCATGGGAGAGGAGTCTCCCCAAGACTGCTTCTTCTTTACGTCCCTAAGTACCTGTCTCTTTCTTCCATCTGGCATCAGTCAGCCTGGACTCATGGCTCTTTAGGTTTTGGAATGATAGGGTCCCAGTGAGTTGGAGCCCAAATTGTGGGCCTGAATTCAGAGAGTGGCACACTCTGGGAATGCTATTAACATGATGACAATATTCCCCACCTCACATTTACACAGCTCTTCACTGTTTTCCAAATACTTCCCACCCACGACTTTGTTTGGTCTCTGTCACAACCTGGTGGGTCATGATGTTTTATAGGGAGGAAATAGATTCAGAGAAGATGAGTATTTTAGCGAAATTTATTCAGCCAGTGAGAGAGAGAGTGTGTTCAAATCCAAGGCCAGTGTGTTTTCCATCATGCCCCAGAGCCTCCACCCTCTACTTGAACACTTCTAGAACAAGCCACACCAGGACTCAGACCTCGGGTCTTGATTTTCTGGGCCCAGGGCATATTCTATGATGTTCCAAGGGTATCAGCGAACTGACACCCTCCCAGACGAGCTAACTACATAATGACCTGAACAGAGGTTAGTGATAAATGAGGACACCACTTTCTGTGGCATCAGAACCCAACAAACCAAAAATGAAGCTGTGAGTGAGGATTTATAGGATCTATTACCATAAACTTTTCTCTGAGAGAATGACTTTGCCTGTATCCTATGAGTTCAATAGAACATTAAATGATTTAGCTACAATCAGTCCTCATTATTTGTAGATTCCATATTCACGAATTCACCTGTTTGTTGAAACTTGTTAGTAACCCCCAATCCAATACTTGCAGCATTTTCCCAGACACTGTGGACATGAGCAAAGCAGTGATCAGTTTGAGTTGCCTGATGTACAGGTTCCGAGCTAAGGTTGAATAAGGGGACCCTCTGCCTTCTTTTTTTTTTTTTTTTTTAAAGACCCTCTGCCTTCTTGTTTCAGCTCTCATACTGAGAACGAGTGTCCTTTGCATGATCTACTGAGTGCTGCAAGTTTTGAATTTTTGTGCTTTTTGTTGGTTATTTTGCTCTTTATTTTTTTCATTCTTAAAAAAAAGTGGTTGGTTTTTTTTTTTTGAGTGTGGTTGACACACAATGTTATGCTAGTTTCAGGTATATCTGTAATTAGGCTGTGCTCATTGCAAGTGTAGCTACCATCTATTACCAGGCAACACTGTTACCATATCACTGATTATAGTCCCCACGCTGTACCAGTGATTCTGCTGTTTAAAATGGCCGCAGGAGTGGTGTTGAAATGCCGACTAGTGTTCCTGAGCACAAAAAGGCTGTGACATGCCTTACAGGAAAAATATGTGTATTAGGTAAGCTTTGTTCAGACGTGAGTCCTAGTGCCGTTGACCATGAGTTCTATGTTAACAAATCAACAATTTATATTTTTAAAGGAGTCTTTAAAAGAATCACACATAAAACAAGATTATATATTGACTGTTTGATAAAAAACACTTTGTGACTAGATGTTGGCAGGAACCTAACCCTGTATTTTCCTGAGGTGCAAAGGCTCAGAATTCCCTAATTCGTTGTTTGAAATGAATTTAGAGGACATAATTGCCATGAATAATGAGAATCAACTGTATTTATACATAAAAATTAAGAATAAACAAGCTAACTTCCACTTAAGAAACCAGGAAAAAATAATAAAATACACACATCTATCTAGAGATAGACTATTAAATATAAAATCTGAAATTCAGGAACTAGAAAACTAAAAAAGGTCAAAATAATACATTTATTTTTGATAATGGCAATAGTTTCACAGATGTATCCATATTTTAAAAACTCATCAAATTGTTCATTTTAAGTATGCAGTTTATTGTTTATCAATTATGCTCCAATGCAGTGAAAAAAGAAGTTGGGTCTCTGAAAAGTGTACGTAGAAAAGCACAATTAAAGAAAACAAGTGGAAAAAATACAACATTAATATTGAGAAAGGCAATAAAAACAGAGGGGCTACAGACATATGAGCGTCTGCTGCAAATGTTTGGTGAATTCAGGGAAATGAGTTGATTTCAAGAAGATGTAACAATCTTAACGGTCCAAAAATCATTTCAGAAATGAGAAAGGCAGTGAAATGTCAGCCCCAGCTTGTTTTTGTAGCCGAGTCCTATCCAGTCTTCAAAGACTAGGCCCAGTGTCAAACTATCTCCGATGGTTAAAAAAAATAATGGTCAGACTCCCAGTTTATTTGACCAAGCTAGCTTTACCCAATCCCGATGTAGATAGCATGCAAGAAAAGGAAAATTCTAGACAAATGTAACTGGTAGAGATGCAACACTTGAACTAGAATATAACCAAGTTAAATTCTGGAATTTACTTCAAAAAATAATAATCCACATTTATCAGGAAGGACCTCTTCCAGATATACAAGGATAGTTCACTATGAAGAAATCTGTCAACCACCCCCTGCTGTCCAACAGTGCAGAGGTTGGAAGACTAGCAGCCCCCAAGCTGTGATACCTGCCTGTCAGAGACAGGGAGAGCTTGCTAAAATGCCCACTCTGGCTCACCAATTTTGGGGTGGGACCCAGGAATCTGCACATTTAACGAGCACCCTGGATGTTGGCGACCCATGCCGGCTGGTCCACGCTCTCACCTAGAAGTTAAACAGCCCCACTTACTTTACCTCTCGGGACCCACAGGAAGTCATTCCACAAAGAAGAGAGAACTCTGGGAAGTAGGCTGCGTGCAAGTGCTAACCCAGGGAAGGTGGGGATGGGGTATCTGGTGGGCACTTCCCTCTTCTAGGAAATGTTAGTGTTTCGGGCCTGCAGAAGGAGAAGAAATTCTGGGAAGCTGGTGGAGAAGAGGCTGGAACAGCTGGCAGGAAGAAGGGAGGGTGGGATGGGTGGGAAAGAGAAGGTAGCACCAAAGGAGAGAGAACTCCTCAACGAGGAGCTAGGAATCTTCAGATTTCAGAGCTCTGGGGAAACAATGTGCTCAGCAGAGGCCAGAATTTTCCTCAGGAGACCAGGAGTTTAGGTCCAGGCTTGCTTGGCCCTAACTGATCACTGGCCCCACTGCACTCTGGTTTGCTCATCTGCAACACGTTACAAACATCCCTCCAACAGGCGCTGCTATGAGGATCACATGAGATGCTATTTGGGAATGTGCAACTGACAAGCTCTGTACAAATGCTAGATATTGTCATTACTCTGACTAGGCCAATTCCTGATTTTACAGATGTGAAAACGGGCCCAGAGACGTCAGGTGACTTGCCCAAGGTTGCACAGCTTGCTAGTAACCACGCAAGAGGGGAGCACAGGTCTCCTGACTTCTGTCCCAGGCAGACAGTCATCCTTTGTAGCTCCCTCACCAAAGGCAAAGAACTCTTGCCTTTCCCTTGTCGCTGGCATGGAAAGCTAGAGAAATGAGCCACTCACCCTCTGCAGCTTTCAGGGTCTGGCTGGGCTGGGTCTTCTGGCCTGCTCATCCTTTCTCCTGTCTTCTAGACCACAGGTCCCAGAGAGGCTGTGGTCTGTACAGCAGCGTGCGTCGTGAAGCCCACGGTTCACCTCACCCCAGCTCCTCCTCTTCCTGACTCTCCTAAAGAGCTGCTCACACCCACAGCCCCTCAGTCATCCATGTACTGGCTAGTGGCCGACTTGATCCAGAGAAATCCCAACAAGGAGCCTGGTGCAAGGGTGGGGCAAGGATTTCACTGGAAAGATGTTGGCTCTCTTCCATCCGGCTGGATACCTTCCCCTTCCATTTCCCCTCCTTCAAGGAGAGCAGCAGGTAGGAAATCTAGAAATATACTGTGAAAAAAAGATCACCATCAAGTCGGAGCAGGCTCTGCTCAGCCCTTAATGAGCCAAGTGAGACTTCATCAATCCCAGTAACATTGATTACCAACAGAAATGTTGAAGCACTTACTCTGAGCCATGCACTGTTAGGGACTTTACACAGAGTGTTCAATTAAATACAAAACACAGCCCTGTTTGGTGGGTATTATTATTATCACTGCACCAAAGGTGAAAGAGGGGCCCTGAAAGGTGAGTAACATGTCCAGATGGCTTGGCAGGCATTCAGCCATGTTGGGCTGACTTTGGAGACTGCATTTAATGACACGGGGAGCAAAGCTCAGTCCCAACGAATCGAGTAAAATATATTGGACTGGTCCTGTGAAGAGGTTCCCAGTTCAAGGGACCTGGGGAGGGAGGGAAGTCAGTGAGCCCTACTGGCCAAAAATCTAAGAGAAATTATACAGATGCTTAGATAAGGTCACATTGCAACTAAAATTCAAAATGCTTTTTACTTTTTGTCCTGCCTGGCAAGACATCAGCCGAGGCTGATAACCCTGGACATCTGTTGCAGATTTGGACCCCCGACGGGTGATTTTAGATGTCTCTTGCTAATTTCCAAAATGAGGGAAATAATAACTGTTTTGTTTTATCTTAAAGCAGGCAAGTTGGTAGAAGAAATTTCTTCGATTATGTGGCTCCTGGTGGGGTACTTTCAAGGACTCCTTGGATTGTAGTTCTGTCTGGACTCCAGAGTCATCAGGGGCTCACCTGATGCCCCTTTGCTGTCACCCATACTCCTCTGCACACAGGCTCAGCCAGTTCTCACTGAGCTAGTCCCAAGGCAATGTAAGATCTGCAGAACCAGGGTGATCTGGTGATCTCTGAAAATTCTCTATTCTGACTTGGCAAGAGACAAAATTCACTGGGTCCAGATGATTTAAGACAGCATCAGAGACGATAAAGAACATCTGTTTCTCTTTCAAGGGTGACAGAGTTTGTGCTGTGATGATAGCATTTGAGAAATTCAGCCCCATGATCTTGGTTTAGGTTTGACGTGTTTTCCTTAAAATCAGGATTGGAAAGACCTTCAAGGGCATAGAGTTCAACCAACCTATTTTTTTAACTTAAGTCCCTCCTCTACCCTACCCCAACCAGACCTGGTAGTCAGCAACCTTGACTTGCACACCTCCAGTCATGGGGTATTCACTTGCTTGGGAAGCAGCAATTTGGGGGCTACTTTGACTATTCAGAGAGTGTTCCTCATGCTAGAGGGAAGAGAGAAATAGGAACTTCTATTAAGTGACTCCAGAAACTACATGTAGGAAATGGAAAATTCTTTGGAAGAAATAAGCAAAGAAAATATGAATTATGCTTTCAAGTCGTGACCAGTTAAGGAAGAGAAGGAAGAAGGAGAAGAGGTGAGGCAGAGCTGTCTGTGCCCTATTGTCATTGTGGTTATCTGCGCATGATTCTCTGTCTACCCCACTGGACTGTGAGCTCCGAAAGGCAAGGTCTCTGGCTCATTAATTTTGAATCCCGGGAAACTAACATGGTGCTCAGTACATAGGGGGCACTCCATACACATTTGTGGAATGAATAAACCTGCCTCCATTTGACAAGTATTTATGAAACACCATGTGCCATGCACAGTCTGGGTATACAGAGATGAGTAAAATAATCCAGCGTGATCAAGGCAGAGACAGAAGAGAGCATCAGGAGGATTTCCCAGTGGAAGTGACTGATCTGAGATGGGTTTTAGAGTGTGGATAGGAGTTTGCCAGGTAGAAAGCAGAAAGGACATTGGGAGCAACCAGAAGATCAAACACAAAGGCATGGAGATGGGAATGCATTCTGCATTCAGGAAGCTGTGAGTAGTTCAGGTCTAACTAAACAATGACATGGGGAAGGACAAGTTTGAAAGCAGAACTGGAACCAGGAGCAGGAAGGTCTAGTATGAGGTGAGCTAAAGAGCGAGGCCCCTGCCCTGATTGCTGGGGAGCCAGTAAAACATATAAAGCAATGGAGCAATGTGATCAAGTAATTGCCAAAGTTCTGACAGATGAAAGTCCAGTTTATCTCCTAGTATACGGACAAAATGCAAATTTTTAGAAGGAGGATGATAAACACTGTGAATATGCATTTTTGAACATGGCTTTCTTCTAACCAACATTTGGGAAGTATACTTTTCCCCCATCAACATTTTTGCATGATTACAAAACTTATAAACATTAATTATAGGAAAACATATAAAAGCACAAAAAAAGATTTAAAAAAATCACTGCAATCCACCCATCCAGATAAAATCTCTGCTACAATGAAGTGTTCCTTTTTAGTCACGTGCAGAAGGTGGCCCAGCATGGGATTCAGAAGGGAGTAGTTTCTGATGAACCTGTTTGCATGAGCTGGTTTGTTTTTTGAAAGGTAAAATGGAATGGTTTCACTTATGTCAAGGGGTTTCACCTATGTCACCTCACATGGAGCTGGGAGGCCATAAAGAAGGTGGGCCTCCTGGACATTTCAACAGGTGGAACCATGAACTTCTGAACCTGGCCAAACCGCAAATATTCTAAGGAATCCACCTGAACACCTGCAACTTGTTATAATAAGAGACTTAGCTTACTGAGAGCCTTAGCAACCAATTATACTCAGCCAAGACTTGTTTTCTGCCCCCCAAACCAATCAAAATTCTTTGTAAACAACATATAAAAACATTCCCTTTTGTCTTTAAAAATTTCTTGACTTTTGTTCCCTGGGAGAGCAGTTTGGGTTGCTGCCTACATCTGTTTCCCCAGAATTCTCAGTTCTGAGAACACAAATAAATGCTTTTGTCTTTATTTTAGCTCAGCCTTTTTTCTGGGTCAACAGCCTTGCAGAAAAGGCTTGGGATGGCAACTGGAAAGAGGAGGAGGAAAACATGGGACTGTTCTTCAGCTCTACCCTTGAACTCTGGTCTGAGCTCTCTGAAAAGAGAGGAGATGTTCTCTCCACTTTTGCAGGGAATTTGGGTGGTTCTGATACCATTTGGGCTCAGGGGTCTTGATTTTTTGGAGGACATCAGCTGCTGAGCAGTGAGAGGAGTTGTCCTTAAATGGCTGCCATGTGGTAAACATCTCCGGGAGCACCTGGATTTGAGTGGCTGGATTTGAGCAGGCTGGCTTGTGAGCACATGTGATACCAAATGCCCACTGGGAGAAATTCCTGGGGAAAACTGAAAATGGAGTAGGGAGGCCAAGATCCACAATAAGAAAAAGGTGGGTATGAATGCTAATGTTACTTCCTTCACACCCGCAAGCCAGAGTCAGAAAAGTAAGAAGCTGCAATTTGGGGCTTCTGGTTAAGATGGCCTGAAGTTCACTCTTTGAGGACCCCTCATCTGTACCACACACAAAGCAATGAAAGATAAAATACTCTGGTGAAGGAAGGTGGAGACCCGGGAGTAGACAGCATGGTCTGAGGATCCTCTGGGTCACATGGAGAGAGGCAGTTCCTCTCCTTGGAGTGCATTTGGGACAGGGGGCTCAACCTCTCCAGGGGTGAGGGACCTGGCGGGGGCCATTGAGCTGCCCCATTCACTAGCATAGGACTCGAGGCCAATTTCTTTTTTTTTTTTCATTTTATTATGTTATGTTAGTCATCATACAAAACCTCATTAGTTTTTGATGTGGTGATCCACGATCCATTGTTTTCATATAACACCCAGTGCTCCATGCAGTACGTACCCTCCTTAATACCCATCACCAGGCTAATCAATCCCTCCTCCCCCCCCAAACCCTGTTTGTTTCTCAGAGTCCATAGTCTCTCATGGTTCATCTCTCCCTCCAATTCTCGCCCCCGTCATTTTTCCTTTCCTTCTCCTAGTGTCCTCCATACTATTCCTTATGTTCCACAAATAAGTGAAACCATATGATAATTGACTTTCTCTGCTTGACTTATTTCACTTAGCATAATCTCCTCCAGTCCCAACCATGTTGATGTAAAAATTGGGTATTCATCCTTTCTGATGGCTGAGTGATATTCCATTGTATATATGGACCACATCTTCTTTATCCATTCATCTGTTGAAGGGCATCTTGGCTCTTTCCACAGTTTGGCTGTTGCAGACATTGCTGCTATGAACATTGGGGTGCATATGGCCCTTCTTTTCACTACATCTGTGTCTTTGGGGTAAATACCCAGTAGTGCAATTGCTGGGTCATAGGGTAGCTCTCTTAGAAGAGAAATAATTAAAATTAAAGCAGAGATCAATGAATTAGAAACCAGAAACACAGTAGATCAGATCAACGAAACTACAAGTTGGTTCTTTGAAAGAATTAATAAGATTGATAAACCACTGGCCAGACTTATCCAAAAGAAAAGAGAAAGGACCCAAATTAATACAATTATGAATGAAAGGGGAGAGATCACGACTAACACCAAGGAAATAGAAGCAATTATTAGAAATTATTATCAACAACTATATGCCAATAAACTGAGCAATCTGGATGAAATGGAGGCCTTCCTGGAAACCTATAAGCTGCCAAGACTGAAACAGGAAGAAATTGACAACCTAAATAGGCTAATAACCAGTAACGAGATTGAAGCAGTGATCAAAAACCTCCCAAAAAACAAGAGTCCAGGGCCTGATGGATTCCCTGGGGAATTCTACCAAATGCTCAAAGAAGAAATAATACCTATTCTACTGAAACTG